AGCGCGCCGGAGCCGCCGCCATGGCCGCCCTGTACCAGAGCGCGGACCCGTCCCCCTCGGCCTCCCCCAACAAGCTGCTGGCGCTGAAGGACGTGAGGCAGGTGAAGGAGGAGACCACCCTGGACGAGAAGCTCTTCCTGCTGGCCTGCGACAAAGGTGCCGCGGGTGGGGTGGGGGAGGGGAGTTTCAGTTTTAGTGAGGTTGGGGCTGTGGTCGCGGCTCCCCTCGCTACGCGGGCTGCACGGCGCGCCTCAGACCTCGTTTGGCTCCTTGATCTGTTCCTGTTTATACGAGAACATCAGAAGCCCGGACACCGAAATATAGAGGACGTAAAAGGCAATACAAGTATAGAAGAAGGAAAGCGGGAGGTTCTGGCTTGTCATCTTTCAGTTTTAGTGAGGTTGGGGCTGTGGTCGCGGCTCCCCTCGCTACGCGGGCTGCACGGCGCGCCTCAGACCTCGTTTGGCTCCTTGATCTGTTCCTGTTTATACGAGAACATCAGAAGCCCGGACACCGAAATATAGAGGACGTAAAAGGCAATACAAGTATAGAAGAAGGAAAGCGGGAGGTTCTGGCTTGTCATCTGTCCCAGGCAGGCACTGTGCTTTACTTCGTGTTGCACCCTGTGGAGGCCGCTGCAAATACTGTAATGTTTCTTCCTATCCCAGGACACGGGTCACTGAACGCCAGAAACCGTTGTGTAGTCTCTCTCGCTTCTTCCTCTTGTGTGAATCAGAGGGCCAATAGTGCTGCATTATCATCTTAATATCCCCCTTTTTGTAATTAAAAATCTTGTGACACTAAGAAGAAGTCAGTTTAGGAGAGTGTCATTTAAATAATAACATTGAAAAAGGTATAGACTCTAACTTAGCTCTTCTTTGGTCTCCTACAATACAGTTATTGCCCCAATTTTTGAAAACCACTTAATTTGTCCTGCTGGGACATAAGTATGATCTTAAATACTTTTCCTGAATAGAGAGCAATTTAATCATGTCCTTAAGCACTTTCCTGAGTTGGGATTTATAACGGATGGAGAGGAGTGATTTAATTGTATTGTTTAATTTGACACCTAATGTAAATAACCTTTTTCTAATTTGGCTGTTTATAGCAGACTTATATGTTAAATGTTTTTGGTTAGATGGATTACAGGCAGATTATTTCACATTGCAATAAGTAGGTGCTTTGCATTTTATTCTAATTAATGAATTATTATGTTTAATTTAAAATTCAAACTATATGTCAGTAAAAATTAATCCAAAATACTAAAACATACTCATACATTGCTTGTTTAGGTGACTATTATATGGTTAAGAAACTTTTGGAGGAGAACAGTTCAGGTGACATGAACATAAATTGTGTGGATGTGCTTGGAAGAAATGCTATAACCATTACAATAGAAAATGAAAACTTGGACATACTACAACTTCTTTTGGATTATGGCTGTCAGGTACAGAACCACAGTTGTTGTTATCCGTATTGTTTTCTGTTGTCTTTTCCGAACCCAGAAGAAAAACGTTACCAATTTTGTCCTTTTTCAGTTGGTAAACTGACTATTTCCTTCCTGCCCTCCTCCCCGTCCATGCCTACCTCATGTTTCTAATGGAGCTTAAATAAACATGGCAGGCTTTTTTTATGTTAGTGCATCACCATCTTGAAGAACGTCAGCAGAGCTCTGGGAGTAATTTTGTTATTTGTGCTGCAGAGCAAATGTACACACTGTTCCCCAAACAAATTCCTGACTCTCTTTTAATATTCTCCAATGAAACTGTAAATTCTTAAAATATTTATAATGCAAATATTACTTTGTCACTAGACTATAACAATTTTTGAATTGGTGAAAATTAAAGTTAGAACATTAAATATTCTTTTCAAGTATCTTAGCTCTAGCCTAACGCAAGCATACATTTCTGTAGCTCAGAATTCACATATTGTGTGTTCTGAAATAAATATATTAGATTTTATATTCTCTTAAAAGTTGTTGATAATAGAAGTGGTATACTTTTTTCCTGTTTCATATCAGAATTGCAGAACGTTGCTTCTTTTCCACACTGCAGTTAGAATTAGGGTTGACACAGATTTCTGCCTGACAGGGATTTTAATCAGCAGAAAGATGCATTTTCATCAATCTCTAAATGTTTAATTTTGACTTCACTTACAAGCGTTCTCTCTGAATCATTTGTCATTCCTCAGTTCTGCTTTGCTCTGAGGTTGTTCAGGTGATTGTGCTCTCCCTGCCAGTCTGCTTTCTCCAGGCAGTGGAAGTATATACTGTCTCCCAAGCTTTCCTTGATAAGATGCTGCTTCTTTCTATTCTAGTTTTCCCTCTGTTTTTAAACAAAAATGTTAGGTTGACAAAGAAAAATGAAAAGTGAAACTTAAAAAGTGGTTTAATTTATCTTTGAGGAAGCCTCATAGGGATATGAAGGACTAGTCGACAATCCGATAAGCATTTGTTGCTTGTTGACTAGCCTATCAGAAAGAGGTAGCAAGGGGGGTGGGAAGAAGGGGATACTTCAAAGTGGCAGCGCTGCGTGGAGCCTTTGGGCTCCACACTGCGCTGCTGCTTTGAAACGCCGCCACGGGAGTCCAGTGTTAGGTTCCTCCTGGCATTTCAAAGTAGTAGCGCTATGTGGAGCCGGGATCAGCCAGGGACTCCCTAGCTGATCCTTGGCTCCATGTGGTGCTACCACTTTGAAATGCTGGGATGAGCCTGACGCCAGGTTCCTGCAGCAGTACCACATGGAGCCTGGGATCATTGGAGAGTCCCCAGCTGATCCCAGGCTCCACGTGGCGTTTTCACCTTTAAAGTGTAGCAATAGCCCTAGTGCTGTTTCGACGCTTCAAAGGCAGAGACACCTTATCGACTAGTCGAAGCAAAATGCATCGACTATTCGATTAGTCAGTTACCCACAATTTAACATCCCTAAAGCCTCATGAACAGTTACCAAACCGGACAGAACCTACTTTCTCACCTTTACCATTATGGTAATAGTACAGAAACTGATATTTTATTCCTGCTTTGGAAATAAAATTATTTGCTCCATGAAGACTAATGGATTTTTGAAAGGTTGGATTAACTAAAGATGATCACTATTAAAATTTGTGACTGATCAGAAGTAAAGATGAAAAGTGGTGGATGCTGGGCAAAGAGTTACAAAGCAGCAGAAAAGTTAAGAATCAGTGTGAGAACTTAACAACCCCGTGGAGCTGCTTTCTTGATTGTGTGGTCTCTGAGTCTGTCTACAGTTGTACCATGCCAAGTCAAGATAGTTCAGGCAGGAACGGTAGCTTGTATTGCTAGTATGGCAAGGAGACAGAGACTTTGCCTTGAGCCTTCCTTGAGAATGATTTATGTCTCTCTCTCTTCCCCCTCATCCAACATAGACTTTTAAATAGTTCTCAATGATAGCGGTTTTCTTATTTCTCTAAATTATGCCTTGTTTTCTAAGAGTAAAGTTTGTTGAGGGGGGGGTCTCTTTCTTTCTCAGAGATCATTGTTGGTCACTCCTGCAGTGAAACAGAGCTATCACTAGAACCATGCTAGCTCATAGAATGACCCAAAGAGTTGAATCTTTGACCCTGTGTGTGGTGGTATGATGGATAATGCTGATTAATGCTGTAGAATATGCTTTGTTTTAGAAGGACACACTGCTATTGATTTAGTACCGACTTTGAAGTACAACCAGTGTCTTTGCTTAGATTATCACGATTGTAGGAGGGTCCTGGAGAAGCTTGTTTGTATTCCATTACTGCTTTTAAGATTACTTTTATTCTAAAATTGATCTGTTCCTGCATCTTCATTATTTTATGGAAGTCTTTTAAAAAAATCTCGTAGTTCCTTGTAACATAGTTGAGTCCATCATCTGTTGGTTATATTAACTTCAAAATTCTACTTTTTTTGCATACAATTTATTTTACTGCTGCTTCATATGTATACTACTTTTTTCTCTCTTTAGTCAACAGATGCACTTTTGGTGGCAATTGACTCAGAAGTGGTGGGAGCAGTTGATATATTACTTAATCATCGACCAAAACGATCCTCAAGGCCAACTATTGTTGTTAGTACTTTTCATTCTGGTTAATTTTGGTTGGGACACCAGGAATTAGAATAACAGTGTAAATATGCTACTTAGATCAATATACTTATGTGAAGATTTGCATTTGTAACAGGATGGAATTAAAACTTTAGACTTCACTTCATTCTGCAGCCTTCTTTTGCATTAGAGGATTTTTTAAAAGTTAGTGATGATTATCATATTGCACACATGAAAAGAAGAAAAATCAGTGATTGTAAATACTTTCTGTTACACAGAGTATTGGCATCTCTGATGATAATATATTTTGGGCAAAACTTCGCGAATTTAAATTTCACCCGAGATTCTATTTTTATTTTAAAACTGATAATATGAGAGTATTCCTTTCGATCTTTAAATATGAAGATGCTTTAAAGTTTTACTAAGTGGAAAAACCTTGAAATAAGTAATCATGTCTGTAATGCTATAGGATTGAGTGATGTAAGTGTGTGTGTACATATGCATATTCCAAATGATTGTGTGTAGCTTCTCCAAATACTGGACTGGGCAAAAAAATCACTCAAATTAGAAAAGAATACTATTTTATTAATGAAAACTTTAAAAAAAGATACTGAAGTCTAATTTTCTATGTGCAACTCTGAACAATTTTCTTTCTGGATAACAAGATTTTCATTATGACAGTTCCATGAGGACACACGCTACATATACGGAAATCCGTTTTTAATCTAAGTTTTCTTTTAAGAGGACATTTTTTAAAACAGTGAAATAGGGCTTTTAAGGAAAATTTTTGGGGTTCTTATTATTATACCAGGCTCTCTCACAGCTACAAAATAGGTGCAGTTTTTTGTTCAGATACCTCGTGAATGTAAAAGAGGGCCCCTTTAACCTTAACATTGTTTCCTCACAATTTATATAACTGAGTACAGTACCAAAATATAACTATTTTGGTACTGTAAAAAACAGAATTCCAAAGAGATTGCATATGAGTGGGTATATTTTATTTTGTATTAGGGATGACTGACTCTCAGATTGTGGAATGAAGCAAAGTCATGAGTGAATGGATTGTGAACAATATTTTCTCTAACTCGTTAACATAAAAATGTGTGATACTGACCTGCTTTTGTCATAAATTATTTATTTCTCTGTAGCAATGATTTCCCAAAGTTCTGAAGTATGGTCATTATCTAATGTTTCTCTCAGAATGTTAGGAAATTGAGAAAATAAACGTTGTCCTTTAAGGGGGAATTACATTATAGAAGAGGTGAGATAATGGAATATAGAGAGCTCTTTTACAGTGCTTGTGGGGAAGAATGCTGCTGTTTCCATTTAAGTCTTTCCAAGTAATACAAGTTGTAAAAATTAAATCTTAATAGCTCACGTGAATTTTGTATTGGTGAAAAGCACCAAAATGATTGCCCAAGAGACTAAAAGTTATTTCTTCATCCTCAGAATGGCTGTTAATGTTCTTTAACCCCTCTGATGATGTAAGGGTTCAGTCTTCATTGCTTTTTAATCCTTGCCCTTTTTTGCTGACTATAATTCATTGTGTATATTTGTCCTCTGAGAACTGAAATGAGACATTATTGTAATTATATCTTTAGAAGGCAGGGAATTTCCAATATTTAGAGAGCTTAAAAATTGATGAACTCAAGATAATTTGTGTGGGGAATATTTTAATCAGTTCACTGGGGCCCACATTGATACATCTTGATCAAACCTACAAATAAACATTTTCATAACGTTGCATGCGATAATCTAAAACACTTGTCTGAATGTTATTTCAGAAACTTATGGAGCGTATTCAGAACCCAGAGTACTCAACTACTATGGATGTAGCACCTGTCATTCTAGCTGCTCATCGTAACAACTATGAGATCCTTACTATGCTGTTAAAACAGGATATATCTCTACCCAAACCTCACGCTGTTGGCTGTGAATGCACATTGTGCACTGCAAAGAACAAAAAAGATAGCCTACGGCATTCCAGGTCAGAAATATCAGATCTTGGTAATAACTAAAAATCCTCAAGGTATATGGTAAAACTGCCATCATTTAGAATCAGGTTCAACATGTCTCTCTTTAAGTTGGGATTTAGAAGCTTATCTTGTCTTATATGTTTATATGTTAATCTTATGTGATTATTTGGGGATAAATTAAGCATGTATGCCTTGATGGAGATCAGTGGGATTTCTTTTGGTTTCTCTCTATGATCTGAAGGTTTTTATTTGAATTTGTTTTAAGCATGTTTTTCTGTAAAGTGTTGGGGAGGTCTTTGAGCATGGGACCCATAGAAATAAAATTTTCATTTCAAAATAATTTCAGAAATAAAAAGAGGAAAAAGTCATGAATATGTTATCTGATTTCTTTAAATAATTGTAATTTATGCTAAAGGGAGTACTATAAGCTTTTCCCAGTTCTTCCAGTTTTATTTTGTTCAAAATACACTATTATGCTCAGATATACTTCCAACAGAATTCCCATGTGGTAAAACATGAAGATTAGGTTCTGTTTAACAAAACTGCATTTTATCTCTTGCTGTTTTGTTTGTGTGCTTCCAGAACATGTTTTAAGTACAAAATAGATAACTAAGAAACAACTGCTCACACTATGATTTTGAGATTATACCAACATTTTAAAGATTAACAATGTTAAATATAATCTAATACATGGATAGTCTGTTTAGCTTAATGCCACAGTAAAATCTCTTCATGCCTGGACCATAAACATTTAACAAAAAAGATACAGCTGATCCAAATGCGTACCAACATATATGTACTTCAAATTGAAGCATTTACTTGTCTTTATGGGAGACTTTTTTAAAATTACTTAAAGAGGTTAAACCAATGAATGTACTTTATGGTGAGAGATACTGATAGTTCACCTCTATTCTTTGGCATCCCACATAATTCTCACTGAAACAATGAAATCAAGCACATCTAGCTTTTATGAGATTTCAAGACATCGTGTGATTTGCAGATGGTGATCAGATGGCTAACGCTCTGAAAATGTTGTCTCAGATTTCGTCTTGACATCTATCGTTGTTTGGCCAGTCCTGCTTTAATAATGTTGACTGAAGAGGATCCAATCCTGAGAGCTTTTGAACTTAGTGCAGACTTAAAAGAACTAAGTCTTGTTGAAGTTGAATTCAGGTAGGAATGAAAAGAAATACAAACTTTTATAGTGATAGAAATGTAGCCGTGATAGTCTGTTGTAGCTGAAACAAAATACAGGACTATGTAGCACTTTAAAGACTAACAAGATGGTTTATTAGATGATGAGCTTTTGTGGGCCAGACCCACTTCCTCAGATCAAATAGTGGAAGAAAATTGTCACAACCATATATACCAAAGGATACAATTAAAAAAAATGAACACATATGAAAAGGACAAATCACATTTCAGAACAGAAGGAGGTGGGGGGGGGAAAGGTAAATGTCTGTGAGCTAATGATATTAGAGGTGATAATTGGGGAAGCTAT